AAAGGGGTGCAATACGAGAACTTTAAAAGGTCACTCATCATAATACTACTTTCAGCTAAACACGTTTAGCCGTAAAGTTATGATAAGATCTGATGCATTAGTGATAGTATGATCACATCCTTAAATTGTGTGTATGCTTCACGATGTTGATGATTATTTAATAAAAGTCGTTGAAAAGCTTAATAAGGGATGACACTTAGACCGAATATATAGCATTTCTAGTTAATATTGAATTAGTTATCTCCACATGAAATTCTTTAAATTTTAGCCTTGCTTAATCAATTTTTCATTGACAAACTTGAAATTTGAGTACTCAATTATGAGTTACGAATATTTTTTTTTTGGAACAATGCATCGAGATTTAGGTACATATCTAGTAATAACTATTAGTATAATTTATCTATATACAAAAAAAAATAGTAATTCTTATCGAGGCCTTGAGGGGTATTTTAAGAATTAAATTTATTATATATAGCATTTAGTTGCTTTTGGTACAATAATGGGGAAGTTTTGTTAAGGATAATGAGTTAAAAGGGTAATATATTTTTTTGATTTGTATACATTTAGTCACTGAGTTTTTTTTTTCGTCCACATTTACCCCCTTCAACTTGTTAAACTGTACACATTCAGTCCTTATGACCGGCTACTCCAGGTTAGCCGGTAAAAGACTTAATAGGGTAATATATTTCTTACTTTGTACACATTTAGTCCTTAATATTTTTGTATACATTTAGTCCTTAATATTTTTTTTTTGCAAAATAAGTCATTTTTGTTTTTGTACTCATTAAATACTTATGAATGATTTCTTTAGTTTTTTCTCACGAAATATTACGTGAGAAATTCATTAATGAAGTGTTTGGGCCTTTTGATGCTTATGTCCATCACGATCTCGACTACTTGGTTGCTTAGATCATGTGTTCTGAACGTCATAACTTCTTCATACGATCTCAGATTTTAACGATCTTTATATCCATGCGAATGATCTTTATATCCATGCATTCGTATTTTAGTATAATACAACTTTTATTTAGATTACCTCCATTAAAAAATAATATATTTTTACTTACGATTTTTATATCCATATGTAGAGGCAGATTTAACCTGGTCCCGGTGTTCCACCGACAACAACTGTTTTTTCTGTTCGTAGTGGAAAAAATTTTGATTTTTTTTTCGTTTATAGCTATTTTTCATGTATCAGCAACACATATTTCATCTCGGCAACACCTGCTATGTATTCCTGCGTCAGCCCCTGTCCATACGTTTTTTATGAATGCATGTATGGATGTTTTTTTACAAAATCGTAAGTAAAAATATATTACATTTTAAAGGGAGTAATCTTAATGAAAAAATGAACATGTGGATATAAAGATCGTTAAAATCTGATATCGTATGAAGAAGTTACGACGTTCAGAATACAAAACCCAAGTCAAACCACAAGACGTATGCAACCAAGCAATCGAGATCATGTTGGACATAAACATCACAACCCCAAACAACTCATCAATGATTGTCTCACGTAAGATATCGTGAGAAAAAAAACCTAAATAAATCATTCATAAGTACTGAATGAGTACAAAAAAAAGACTTATTTGAAACAAAAAAATGTTAAGGACTAAATATGTACAAAAATATTAAGGACTAAATGTGTACAAAAAGAAAAATATATTGCCTATTAAGTCATTTTTTCTGGCTAACCTGAAGTAACTGGTCATAAGGATTGAATGTGTACAATTTAACAAGTTAAAGAGGGTAAATGTGGACGAAAAAAAAAACTCAGTGACCAAATATATAAAAATCGAAAAATACATTAACGAGAGACGGGTGCATGAAAATGAAGTAGCAGCATAAACGGGAAACAATTTTCCGTATATTAATGTGACAGATATAATATAATGTTTAATAATCAAAATTTTGATTAGTTTTTCACTTTTTTTTTTAACAGGTGAGAGAAGAGGATAAGGCATTTCTCTCTCTCTCTCTCTCTCTCTCTCTGATATGACCTCATCAACTTTCTCTCTCTAAAAACCTCCCTCTCTTTCTCTCCGTATCCGGTTTTCCTTCATCTTTTGTCTCTGTATAATCTGTATAGAGTTATCTACAGCCCAACCTGTATAAATTAATCCATTTTTCACACCCAATACTTCCGATGTGTGTTGCTTTCGTGAGTAATAGTTGTAGTGATAGTAATCGGATCCAACCCCAAGGGTTTTCTGACTGGATGGGGATCTATAACATTTCGGACTCCACCCAATTCACCGGAGGTAATCCATGGACCAGCAGGCTGCCGGCTGTTAAGGAGGAGGATGATTCATCCAGTTCTTCATCTATCGGCAAGAACAGTGACGCCGGAGGAGGTGATTCCGATGACGAAGTTCAGAGCAAGGATAATGGACCGCTGAACCAGTTAAACGACTTGGAGAAAGTCTTGCCCATCAAGTATGGCTATAATATTCTTCATTCTAATTATCGAAATTGCTAATTAATGCTGAATCTTGCAGATTGGTGTCGGTGATTGTATGTCATTTAGACATGCATGTGCGATTCCAATTGTTTTTACACCTCTTCGGTTAGAATAAATTACTATTTTTTTTTACAATTGAGTTAAGTCTTTGATCATCAAAGTGGTGGAATTAGGTGTTTTTGAAATGAATCGGTTAATAATCTATCTGACAAATGTTACTGAATTCAGGAGGGGGCTATCGTCGTTCTATGCCGGAAAATCAAAATCATATGGAAACCTAGCGGATGCGTCATCAGTTCAATCGATTCAAGACATTGTTAAGCCGGAAGATGCTTACACCCGGAAACGCAAGAACATGATTGCTCATACTGTTTTATTTGAAAAGCTTCGTAAATCCACCACCGATAGTTCTGACACATCAAAGCGACTTGCCAACTTTACCACAACTGGCACCCATGCTCGTTCTCTTCCACCCTTGCCCCCAAACACTACTAATAAATCATCAGATTCCTCATCTCCATCTCCATCTCCATCATCTGTATCTGCATCTCCATCTCCTCGAATGTATTATTTCCCATGGAGATCATTATCTCTCTCAGATTTGCACCATGCTTCGAGTATCACTGACTCGGTGATTAACGAAAAAGACAAGGAGGATGAGCATTAGGTCTAGCTCTGTGAATGAAGATAGAATCTGAAAAATAGTTGTTTCTGCCTTTCTGGTGTAAAGTGTTTATGTTTTTTTTCACAATTTCTGGTCCTGCCCATTGTACTTCTTATAAAAAAAAAAAAAAAAAAAAAAAAAAAAAAAGGATATGGGCATTTCCAGAAATCATAGGATGTTGTTAGATGTAGTCCAAGTCGTGGTGTTAATCAAGATGAAGAAATGTTCAGTTTTTTTTTTTTTTTAAGAAAAATGCCAAAGGTTCACAATTCTTGCCCATGATCCGATCCCCTTTTAGATCTATGATACTATGCAAAGACTGGTTATTACTTACTAGAAAATGAAACACCAATAAGCTAACAAAGTGTCTAACAAATAGGTTTTTGGCTCAATCACATAGATATATTAACTCGCAGTTAAAAAATATTAAAAAAAAAAGAAAAAACCTTGTTAGAAAATGAAAGCGGTGCTACTTCAGAAATATATGTGAAGGAATTATTGTATACAGAAGCCCATTTAGTGATTTATACATGAGTTAATTCTTGATGGTTCACATTTTAGGCCGTGGTTTGAGAGTCTTGAAGAACTGTGTAGTTGTTGTGTACAGGGAAACAAATATTTGGTACTATGGTTGCAACAAGATTTGTCTCGAGTACACTGAGTTCAACACATTCCACAACATTTTCTGTGATATTTTTGTTCTTCCTAACCATAGTCATCAGTTGTTTCCTATTGATATGTCCGAATCAATGCAACCTTCTTTACCTAAATTTCGTACGTTGTACGTCATTGCTAACAAATTTCTGATTGATGTTTAATGTTTTTGGTATTCTGTTCCACAATTTGCTACTACATGTCTACCCATAATATCCGTATTTCCACAAACTCTATCCACAAATCTCTACAAACTATTTATTTATATATTTCGCCTATTATTTTTTTTAACAAACCACAATACATTTTTACCCTTTTTGTAAAGAGTGACATTTATAATAAAAGTAAAGTAAAATTTTGAAGAAAAAAAAACACTTTCACCTTTTTATAAATCTCAAACAAATTTATATTAAATTAAATACCGAGACTTTTTATTATATTTATTGACCAAACATTCTCGATATTGATCTTTTTCACGAAACTATAAATAGAAGTCATATTATTTTAGAGAAAACATGTTCATATTGAATGTGTTCATGAGAATATTTTAATGGTGTGTTTTATCAATTTACATTTTTTCATATGTAAAAGCAACGGATTATAGTAAATATTTAAATAAAAATTATACAAGTGGCGGAGTCTATTTTCGAGTTCGAAGTGAGTCCATGAAAAAAGTTGTCTATGCCAGTATGCCACCTAGCCATGGGGGGGAAATTTGCAGTCTATTTTTTAAGGGGTTGGCTAAATGTATACCCCATTTTACCATTTAGACATCCTATATAATTTTTAAGGTTTTTTTCATGGACTCACTTCATGGACTCACTTCGAACTCGAAAATAGACTCCGCCACTTGTATAAAATCCCAAACAAAATTGACCCCAGAAGAAGATGGTGATGTGTCTATAGGAATGAAATGATGTTGTCAGAGATAGAGAAAGCACATCTCACAAGTTGCAACGTGAGTGCTTGCTTGATCACAACAAAAATATCTAATTTTCTCAAAAAACCGGTTTCTCATTCAAACTCAACCCTAGGCCCTAGCAGATAAAATTGTCTTTGCAGTAAAGATATGAGAATCTATAAATGACTTTTTTACTTTTTTGGGTCTAGTCACTCTAATGACATTCCATATCGACACTAGATCCCAATTTTGTTTAAAATTGAGAATGTGATGTTTGGTATTTAAAAAAAAAAAAAAAAAAAAGAACAAATGAACAAATAGTTGCTAACAAATCCGCTTACGAACTACCGATTACAAGTAATAACATTCACTTTAAGGGATTCAAAAAGACGTCTACAGCTTCAAAATAGACTCAACAAGCTCATATAAAGGTGCAAGCTCACCCTGATCAATCAACCGAAATTCCTACACAATACATACACCATTAATCAATCATACAAACACAAGAAAGATTCTTCTTTCAAACTCATAATCATGTAAGTAGTAATGAATAATGATTGATGACTCACCCATGTGAAGAGGACAAAATGCTTGAAACAGGTATTAAGATGAGCTTCTTCTTTCAAACTCATAATCATCTGAAAATGCGAATGATAGATATGAGCATAAACCCTAAACAACCGCTTGAACACCGTCTTCACCACATCCTGGAAATAGTGAGGAAATGGAGCACCTATAATTATAAAAAACATAACCCAGATCAAATAACAAAAGTATAAAACTATTTGGACTTATATTTGGTAACAATATTGATTATCATTTACCAAGTCTTTGAGGGAATATTGATTCGTTATCAAGTTGAGTTTCGATCCATTCCATTAAATACTCCACGTATTTAGGAGCAGATACTTCTATGGGTTTCTTAATAGTAACTCCATCCGCCCACCTGTACTCATATCTGTAAAAAAAATACAAAAAATAAATGTTAATACTTAATATAACATCTTGAAAAAAAATGAAGGATTAGGCAACGTACTTTGCTCCAGCTGTCATTGTTGGGCATGTTGATGGTGTGCAGAATTCAGTAAGAGTGCCATAAAGGAGATTCACTTGATTAAAGAAATCAACAGCTGCAGAATTATATAACACAATCATATATAAAAAAAAGTTATGGGTAATTCAAAAATCAAGACTCAAGAACATAGAATCATTATTACCATTTATAGCAAGCCACTCATTGAGATCTTCTCCAGGGGGTAGGCGAACAGCTTCACGCAAATTTCCACTACCTAAAGTTGCATCTATGTGTTTTTTAAGCTGTGCACCCTAAATTCACCAAATCGAATGAGTTTGACTTTGACCAAAGGGAATAGATATGGGAAACACTGAGAAAATTTATAAAAGTTTTGTAGGTAACAAACCTTACTTCCTGATGGAGCGCTCTTTTTTGGTCGAAAAGTCTTCTGATTTCTGCAAATACAGAAGGATAAACATTGGTTATATGAGATTGAAGAAGACTAAGCTTACTATTTAGCTAAAAAATACATGTATGATTGAAGTGATCAGATCATGTTTATACAAGTCCAACATATGTATATAAACAAACATGTAAGCCCTTGATCAATCAAGGATTGATCAAACATAAAACATCACCAAAGTTATAAAATTACACCATCAACATCCAGTTTCAGTTTCTCTTGCTATATTCACAATTGACTTCTTGTAACTTCATAACTTATAAGTCATAAGAATTTGTTTTTTTAGAAGGAAACTTGTAGTTAATACATCAAAAAAAAAAAAAAAAAAAACTTAAACAACTACTATAAGAACATATTGAAGTTCAAAAACTTCTATTACAGTTCTAGTTTGTGAAATTGATGGCAGCAAGCAGCAGATATACTGTATGAATCTCAGTTCTTTACAGCACAAACACCTCATGCGTGTTTGTGTAATTGTTAGCTTTGAAATTTGTAGGCTAATAACTAATAAGTCACTCTCCTAAAAGATACACTAGGAATTTCCAAAAGAAATATGTACGTTTTCACTTTTTCACTGAATACACCTTAATTGCAATCAAATTGCCTAATATAAATCGAGTTCTAATAATGAATCATACTTATGTTTGTTAATTAATTAAAACTAGACAAAAACAACGTAATTAGTTAGATTTATGTTTGTTAATCTGATTACAATATCTGTTTGAGTATATAAGGAGACGTGAATCTACTGTCATCAATAATTAATGAAGATATATTCAAACTCAAATAAACTCAAATTCAAGCAACCGACAGTTGGATTGATGAAACATACAGCCAACACAACGAATCAATCGTTATCGAAAAATGCAAAAAAGCTGAAAGCGAAATCGAAATACCTGCTGCCGAGGCCAAAGAGACTCATGGCGATTTAGGGTTTCGAGTACGTTTTGTGCGTGTTTGCGTCCCGTGTATATATACATGAAGCAAGAAGAAAGAGGGATGTACCAGGTCGATTTTTTGCCATTGCCATCTTGAGCTTACCTGTCATGGCCGATTCTGCCGCCAACGCCAACCTTTCCATTTTGTAATTTACACTTTCGTCCTTTAACTATTGGATTTCTTCGCTTCCACTCCATAATGAAAGAAAGCGTGAAAGTTGCTAACCCTTTCTTTAGGCATCTTTAACCGACATATTTTTTGTAAAAAAGATATTTCTAAATCTTGTTCTTAATAACCATTTCTTATGTAGTATAATTTAGTGTTATGGTCCTTATGGATATCATTAAAGTTTGATATTATGGTTCGTTAACGTAAAATCTTGTGATAAATTTTAACTTTTTTTTTTTTTTTGGGTTTTTAAAGTTTAAATTTATAGATAGCTAGTTTATTTCGAGTTAGTTTATTATATTTTTATATTTTAAATTTAATATTTTTAAGTATATATTTTTAATAATGTAGTATTTGATATAATATTAATTAATTACAAAAATTGGTATGGTTATATTTCTTTAATGAATAATGATATGACCTCTATAGTTATTTAACAACAAGATGTATGACAAAAAAAACTGTAATGAATATAGGGGTATTTTTTAAGATCTTAAATAAATCAAAAACATATACATATTCAAATGATTTTATGAGAAAAACAGTATAGATTAGAGATGAATCGATATTTATATTATTATTTTTTTGTGGAGAAAAATGATGTTAGAATTGAAGATGATCTTAATAAAACATATAACAACTAACGTTGACAATAACATTGAGTAGGGTCAAGCCAAATAATACAAAGTTTTGGCTTGGATCAAATCTTTGACACCCTAATTGAAGTTAGGGGTGTTTAAAATATCCGAAAAACCGAACCTAAATCCGACAAATTGTATTCATTTTTCAGGTTAATCAAACCAGTCAAACTGTTCATTTTTTTTGTTCAGATGCGATGTATGTTTTTGTCTTGAACAATTAACCTAAAAACGAATTTCTTTTATTTTTGTATTTAGGACGATGAACTTTACAATTAATACCATATTTATTTTTTTATAAGGAATTATCAATTAACATTGCTATTAATTGCTATTAACAATTGTCAATTTAAAGTCACAATTGGACATTTATGCTTTAAATTCACATTTAACATTTATGCTTCATTATAATATATATGACTTTCATGCCTGATATTATGCTCATATTATCATACAAACATATAATTTTAATATCAAAAGAAATTTAAATTAAAGAAACTAAATTTCGTGCACATTTCAAATTATATGGTTGATTGATAACTAAACAACGATCGATAACGATGTTATTTACGGATTTACTTTTTGTAGTTATGATTGATGATGTGTGCTTATACTTTAAACATTGAACTTTTTGGATTATCCATTTGGAAAAGTCATATCAAAGGTTATCCTTATTTTACAAATTAATTATATAGTTTGTTAATTTTAAAATAATTTGTTAATTAATAAATGGTTTATTAGTCTCTATATAAATATGACCGAACCGAAAAACAGATAAATCAAAATTATTAGTCCAAATTTAAATTCAAAAGACTAAAAAACCGTTGTTAACCTCTAAAATGCTACTTTAACGACTTAACTATCCATGAGCACCTAGCAATTGCTTTTGGAAAAAAAGAAAATCGTTAAAACCGTAACTTTTATGCAATTAATTTTTCATCTTATATCATTTGCGATTTATGCTTTTTCACATAAATAAATCTATTCTAATAAATCATGATTCATTATGTTATATGTTAATCTCTTATGAGTTTTGATAGTTGTCTATGGTATTTTTGAAATAAATAATATATACATGTTAATTACTAGGTTTTTTTCATATTTTAAAATTAAAAAGTCACATAGTGCTTTTATATATATATAGGGCCGGTCCTAAGGATTTAAATGTCCAGGACGAGCCGTAAAAAAAGGCCCTTAGGCCCTTACGTGTGATCAATTAAATTATATAAACTGAATTTATTTTAAAACAATGATAAGTTTTAGAAATCTGTTTTTCTCGTGTGAAAGTGCAAATCATAAGTTATTTAGAGCAACAATGCACCCATTACAAATAATGGAATAGAATAATGGAATGGGATATGAGTCATTACACTATGTTCTGATATACAGGTTAAAAAACTATAAAAATATTAATAATTAATAAAGAAAATGAGCCATCCTACCTAATGAAGCAAAGAAGAATGAGAGCCACATTGAACAAGAAAGAGTTCATGAGAGTACATCCCCACCTGGACAGAAGGTTATTTTACTTGATATTCATTCACAAGTCACAATTAAACAAAAAAATAAATAGATAGAAAGGTAATTTTACTTCATTGGATGGATAGTGATAAACCCTAGTCTGAGACTAAGCATCATTGCCCCCAACAATAACTGCAAGCAAAGGTAGAAGCAGAAAAACGCAAAGGTTGCAGTGCCCAAAAGACCTGGTGAAGGAAGGATAATTTGATCAATGTAACAACATTAATGTGTTTCTTCACTCACATATGGAATAGGAATCAAAAATTACCCCCAGATGTCATCCAACTTTCAGGAATGGAGAAAGTGAAGGGTCAATCAATAGATAATAACGTGTGCAACCCAAGCAATTGAAACAATTAACCTAACAAGGGGAACACAATCAATCGGTTCCCAATTTTAATAAATATAAAATTTGATTTTTGATTGTAAAGGAATTAAGAATTACCCAAAGACTCTGAGTAAAAGCTTTGCAAGATAGCCAGAAACATTCATTCTTGTTTCACTGTAAAACGAAAAAAAAATCATATAAACCAAAAGTCAAATCTGAATTATGCAGAAATACCAACCAACAACTTTGAGGTTACCCTTTTCAGGCTTTTCTGATGAGTGATACACATTCATTCGTTCCTAATTCATTAACTCTGATTCAATATCCCTTACATGAGTGATTAGCAATCAATTAACAGAGGGTAAAAGTACTAAAACCCTTACCTGAATTCTGATAAAGCCGCTGAATGTTGAATTGATGATAATCAATCGACAATCGCTCCTGCCTTCTATCGCGTTCTTGGCTTGCGATGCGTGCTTGGATTCTTGCATTCTCAGTACGTCTCATGTTTTCTTGCTGGTCAACAATGTTGACTTGGACATTAGGCCTGATTTCAATATAATATATAAAAAAAAATTGGGCCCCATCAAAAAATGGACCATGTTCCTATGCCCAGTTTGCCCTTGCTCATCACCGGGCCTATATATATATATATATATATATATATATATATATATATATATATATATATATATATATATATATAATGTAATTAATGTGATTGTAAATTGTAATAAATACGTTTCTTTCTTCCTTATATTAAATCTTAATTTTAATGACAAAATTACTAATAGTTTTCAATCTTCCGGCTCATAACACACATCAATTTGATTCTTGAATTCGAAATTGGCATGTAACCCTCTATCCTTTCCAAAACATCTCAATGTTGCTTATATCGATTTCAATAGGAAATGTTATCAGTCACTCGATTCTTGTCACCCGATTCCTGAGATGTTTCAATCTTACAAATTATTTCCAAAATTCAATTTCAATTATATATATATATATATATATATATATATATATATATATATATATATAACTTCGTATTTATTTCATCATTCATCACATTACCACAATTACTTTGATTGGCTTGGAGAGCGTTTCATCTACAAAATCATCATCAACGATTCAACACAATTATTTAAATTATATCAACAGTTTTTTTAATTAGTATATATTGAATTACTTATTTATTCATCGTATCATTTGTATTTATTTCAAAACATCACTTTTAAAAATGTTTAATGTTTACACATTCATATTTAACTTATTTTAAAATCAATCATCTGTATAGTAAATGAGTCTCACATCTAGTTATTAATATACAACGTTTAACTTATCATATAACGAAAGGTTGTTTTTTTAATACTGATCAAATATCTATTTGTAAACACTCTTAAATGAAATTTATATCTCATATCAATCTTATTTGTATATGATATAGTTATTAATTGTAATAATTATACTTGAAATTTTAAATGTTATTTTTAATCGGTTAACTCATAAACCAATAAAAACATGGATTCCAAACTACATGAAAAATTTTACATCAAAGAAAACGGACAACAAATTGTGTTGTTAATCTTTTCCCATTTGAATGGATATAGAATAAATGATTTATCTTTTTTTTCTTTTGAAGTACTTATATATCTTCCTATTTTTCTTCCTACCCATTTGAAATGATGACAAATATATCAAAATATTATTAATCTTATCCAAATATGACACATGTAATCATTTCATATGAATAGGAAGATAAGTAGAAAGAAATTATAGGAGGACTATAATGGTATCTCTATTTTTACCGAAGAGATACTTATAAAATATATTTAATATTAATTTTATATCATATTTTTTGGAACATTATCAATAAGGTTAAATCTTTTAAAACAGCACACTTTAAATCAAAAAATCTAATGTAGCGACGGATGACCATCCACCTCTGTTGTCCTTGTATTTAAAAAATAAATAAAATTAAATAAATAAATAAAAATTAAAAAAAAAAAGTTCTAAAATATGGTACCCACCATTTCTCGAAGCCATATTTTTGGATTTCATCTTCTCTCAACCACTTCAAAGACAACATCGGACTCTGGATTTTGAAAAGTTTAGGGTGATCCAAATAAGTCGTTTATCGTTTTAATGTTCACGTTCGTACCAAATTAGGTATTATGTAGTTGAATATATAAAATAAAGCTACACCAAAACATAAGAGGTTTTCAAGAACCGGAAAAACATCCTCAAAATAAAGATTTTTAGAAATAAAAAGTTTATTTTGTCATATATTAAAATATATAGAGATTTTTAGAAATAATCATTAGCTCAGAAAAATAAATGATTTCTTCAACAACAACTCAACAAGGATATGTGTTTAACTCTTGGTAGGGGGCTGGAATTTAACTACGATTAGCTGTGTATGATTAGGAAATAGGAACGACCCCAGGCCCCTCTTTGACGCCATGTCACTAAC